CAACATATCCATAGGATTAGCCTTTCAACAACAAAAATCAATATAAAATGCATTACCAAGATACTTTCCATCCTTTTTTGGACTAAGTCTGAAATCTGATATGTAGTTTCCACTCGCAGCACATCTCAAATGGGACGAGCCACATTTCGAGGGTTCAGCGCCACCTGTGGCTTGTCACTGCTGTGTTGAACAACCCGGGTCTCAACCTTTCCTAGTCTTTTCAGGTCCTACATCCGCCTCAAGCTCAGGAGGACCTCAGGACTCATTTTCCAAGGAAGATCCGAGTGTCTGCCTCCAGCCACTCTATGTCATTCTCTCTCCCCCTGCGTGCCTGTAGCTGCTGCCCTCCCTTTCCGCTAACGTTTTCAGTTTTCACTCAGCCTCCAGCTTAACTTGTTGCTACTGCTCCTCAAACTACCACTCTATTTACCATCTTCTTTATTACCTTGAATTTCCCACCATGTACTCAATCACAATTTCAGCCCCCAGTCTCTCCTCTCTTGGAGGCTGTCTCCACTCTCCTGACTTCAATCATCATTTCTACTCAGAATACACCCGAATGTAAAGAGTCAGTCCTTTTCACTCAGCTTCAGTCCTGCATTTGCAACGGCTTACCATACATATTCATCTGAATATCACTGGAATATGATATTACTGGCATTTAACTTATGGCTACTGGAACAAGTCCTGGGGAAAAAAAATCGTTTCATTTCCAAGCTTTAAAAAAATTAATACGTATTGTGTGTAATTGTCAGCCTCATCGCATCCCTGATCCCTGTTCTACATCTACCCCAGGCTATGTCAAAATGCCCTGTTTCGATGTCATCATGGAAGAACCCAGAGGTTTAAAGTGTCAGCTTTTTCCCAAACCAGTTCACCCTTGGATTTCCTGTTTTCGTCAGAGATACTAATCACTCAGTCACCCAGCTTTGAAATGTTGCTTTCACCTTTAATTAGCTCTTCCTCCTTTCTCCCACAGCTAATTAGTCAGCATTCTTGCCGACGAATTCCTCATAATATTTCCCTTTACCCACTCCATCTCCTTAAGAAACTGTTCGCTGCACTCACAAACCATCCCACGTCCGCTGTCATCGACCCCAGCACTATCTCTTCCTTGAAACCACCTCTGACAGTACAAGACATACTGCGTGGATGCAACGCTTTTTAAATCAATGTCCAATCTTCCCAGCTCGATTCTTAAAAGCAGGGACAAAATTTTACAACGTCTTCATTCCCTTGATGACCAGATATGTACCTGACCAATAAGTATTTACTGCCGATAATGGGTCATTTTCACTTAAAGAAAAATTTCACTTTAGATATCTAGTTCTGGGAGCAGATTTAAACATAATCAGCTTGCCCAGGATAATTTTGCATGCTTTTGGGGACATTTAACATAAAGCCATATAATGTGAGAGGCATGAGTGTTTTGTTATGGAAAAAGACTCAAACTTAGTTTTTGATCTTGCTTCTCCCGTTAACCAGTCAGTAGACAAGTTTCTTGACTTGTAACTTTCTCACTTGTTACATACTAGTGACCCTTTATCTGTGGGGCTTGCATTCCAAGCCCCCCGTGGATGTCTGAAACCTTGGATAGTACTGAACCCTATGTGTGCCATGTTTTTTCCTATAATACATACCTATGATAAAGTTTAATTTATAAATTAGGCATGGTAAGAGATGAACAACAATAATATAAAATAGAACAGTTATAACAATATACAATTAAAGCTATGTGAATGGCTTTGGGGCCATTATTAAGTAAAATAAAGGTTACTCAATGTGAGCACTGGTACCTCCACAGTCCACCTGATAATGTAGATGCTACTAAGTGGCTAACAGACGGGGAGCGTGTACAGTGTAGATATGCTGGACAAAGGGATGATCCGCATCCCGGGTGGGACAGAGCACAAGGGAGCGAGATTTCATCACGCTACTCAGAACAGCATGCATTTTAAATTTTATGAGTTTTTACTTATGAAATTTTCCATTTAACTTTTTTAGACCACAATAGACCTCAGAAAGCAAAACCGTGGGTAAGGGGAGACTGCTGTATACCTGTCTAATGGAGTTCATTGTAAGGTTTAAAGGAGGTACTTCTGAAAGTGTTTTGAACATTTCAAGATCTATGTAAAAAGATAATTATGTCATGAAAGTATTCTGAATCAACATCCCATTGCTGTTCTAAGATAAATCTTTTGTTAGCCTCCCAATTAGAAACCTCCAGCAATCCTAGCAAGTTGACTGAAAGACCTGTTGTGTCATGATTCTATACCAAATAATGCTGGTGGGTTCACAGTGCTCTCTGCTCAGTTCTTTTAAGTAAAGCCTGGTTATTGTGCCTACTGTTCTAGAACTGTTTAAACCTGAGTCTGAGACTCAGAAGGCTTTTCTAAAGGACACCACTTTTTACTGAATTTATTGGAATGACATTGGTTCACAAAACCATACAGGTTTCAAGTGTACAAGTCAACAAAACATCGTATGCACGCTGCATCACGCACCCACCGTAGGAAGCCTCTTTCCATCCCCAATTATCCCTCCTTCCTCCCCTCCACCTACTCTTTCAATGGGTGCTAAGCAATTCAATAAGTGGAGACACAAATGAAAATAGCAAATTCTGTCTTTTCTTCACCTGAAATCTACTTGCAAGGTCTCCTATGCCCCTTCACATTTCAGAGGTAGATTCAGTGTACTTAGCCTTAGGAGTACTCCCTTTAGACAAATCAAGCTGTCTTAGAATGTAGTGTTGACCCTTTAACAGTGCAGGGGTTACAGAGGCCAACCCTGGAGAAGTTGAGAATTGGAGTATAACTACAGTGGGCCACCTGCCTCCACCGATGCCTAAACATGGATTGGAAATACACGTGACCCATAAATGACACAGGTTTGAACCACGCAGGTCCACTTTCGCTCAGAGGAGCAGTGCTTTTCCTTTGCTCCTTGAAACCTGTTCGTAGAACTGACCCCACTCAAAAGAGAAAAATAAATCTTCATTTCACCCCAAAACATACTTATGATTCTTTCCTCTACATCTTACATTGCGAAAGTGTTGTAGAAAAAAAAGGAGCAAATTTTTGCCCAAGGAAACGGCTGGCTGACTACAGTAACTTAGCTGAGTTTGTGTCATTGGTGGACCCAGTGGTGGTGGTGGGCGGGGAGTAGGAGGGGATGGATGACGGATGAGCTTACATGTCAGTTTTCTCCGGGACTTCAGATTGCCGGGGTGTCCACAGTCTGATACAACAGAGCCTTCCTGCCTTTAAACCCCTGATAACCTTACTCTCTAGCCAGCCTGAGGTCAGTCTGCTGTCTAGGGTTAATTCTTTGCTCTGCAACATTTCTTGTGTCCCCTCTACAGCATCAGGGCTTTCACTAGGTTATGGGGCCTGGTCAGCTAGTTGCACACATGTGTAGGGTGGGAGCAGCTTCCTGCTCTCTTCTACCCTGTCACCTTCATTTCCTTTGAGCCAGTGACTGGCACCTAATTCTGTCAACCAGATGTCTCCAGGTGCTTGCATGTAGAGCTGGCAGAGTGAGCAGCTACCACGTTCACTTGGTTGTGAGATAGAAATTTCGTGTCTTGTTTTCTCTTTCTGCAAATTGATTAACATAACATTCTATTAAAAAACCATTTGTTGCAGCAACATGGATGGACCTTGAGGGTACTCTGCTAAGTACAATAAGTCAGACAAAGGCAAATACTATATGATACCACTTATATGCCAACTCTAAAAAATCCAAACTCATATAGAAACAGAGAGTGGAATGGTTGGTTACCAAGCGTTGGGAATGAGAGAAATGGGGAGGTGTTGTCAAAAGGCACAAACTTGTATATGAAGATGAGTAAGATCTAGAGCTAATGCACAGCATAGTGATTATACTCAATGATAGTGCATTATTTGCTTCAAAGATGCTAGGAGACTAGATCTTAAATGTTCTCACCACAAAAAAGAAATTATAATTATGTGACATGTTCGCCAATGTTGCAGTGGTAATCATATTACACTATACAAATACAACGTTGTACACCTTAAACTTACACAATGTTATATGTCAGTTTTATCTCAATTAAAAAATTTACTACTTGCCTACTTGGAGAATAAATTTCCATGCATTCTTAAGCAAGGCTTATGTGCTTCTTTTATAAATAATCTGGTGACTGGCATATTCAAAATATTTCCATTTTGTATCACATTTGAAGCACCATGGCTTTATTCTTTTGAATGTATTTTTTTTCTAAGTTGAAAGAGAGAAATGACTGATAGATGTGATGGAGGTTTTAAAGTTTGTATTCCATATTCTGAACTCACAAAGTATTAGTGAACAAATGATGTAGCAAATGGTTTAATCCAAGTGTCAGCTCCTGGGTTTCTTGAGACAGCCACTGACAACGCTTCAGGTTGGGAGGCAGGCCACGCCTTCACTCAGGTGCCTCTGGCCTCGGCTGGGACCTGCCAGCCGCCACCGCGCTCCCGAAGGCAGCACTTCCCTGAGCCTCTCTGTTCACTGCGGCTGCTCCTTCTCAGCAGCACAGACATTTGTATGACCGAGGTACATGTCCACAGGCCAGTGTGGAGACATAAAGTTGTCAGCAGGGCATCAAGGTACACACAGCCAATGCCACCTCAAAGAAGAGAACTGGTTCTTCACAGAGTCTTCTGCGTTTACAGTTTTGCTTCAAAGTCACTTAATTTGGGTCCCTGTACAGAACGCATAGCCCAAGGAGATAACGTTTATAAAGAGATGGTTGCTGGAGATTCAACAGCCTTTTCTTACCTGTGCATTTATGAACTATCATAAGCATTGGGGATGGAAAAGATCATTCCAAAGCAAAATGAAATAACAGTTAGTGCCCTGGGCAAAGCCTCATGTCCACTCACATGTGTCTAGGGACCTGGAGGCTGGAGGGAACCCTTGCCCGTGAGCCACAGGTACAGCAGCGGCCCCGGAGGCCCTGCCGGTGCTAAGTGTGTGTGCTTTGTGTCTCCTTCCCACAGCTATTGACCTGCTGTACTGGCGGGACATCAAGCAGACGGGGATAGTGTTTGGGAGCTGCCTGCTGCTGCTCTTCTCCCTGACCCAGTTCAGCGTTGTGAGTGTCGTGGCCTACCTGGCCCTCGCCACGCTCTCAGCCACCATCAGTTTCCGCATCTACAAGTCTGTTTTGCAAGCTGTGCAGAAAACCGACGAGGGCCACCCTTTCAAGTGAGTGCCCCAGCCAGACCAGCCGCTGCCCAGCCTCTCATGGGGCTCTTTCCCTCTGCCTCTCTTTCCCGCCCCTGCACGTCAGGTCATGTTTCTCTGAGGCCTGACAGGCCTCTTGAGAGTCTCCTTTAACACCCTGCCTTTGAGATCTGATATTTCTGGTGACTTTCTAAAACAATCTCAATTATCTCTATTCTAAAATTTATTGCTGTGTTGATTTTTTAATTTTAATTGTGGTTAAGGAAATACCTAAATTTAACAACTTTATATAAATTTAACATAAATTCATAATATTAATATATTTTATTTAATTACTACTAATAGTAATCACAATTCATCATATGTATACAATGTTTTATAATTTGAAAAGCATTTCAACAGTTAATCCTCCCAACTCTGTGAAGAAAGCAGAGCATTACAATCCTTATTTACAGGTAGAAAAACTGAGGGTCTAAGAAGTGAAGTGACTCACCCAAGGTCACATGGCCAGTAAATAGGACAGCGCAAGGACCAGGGTGTCTGGATTTTTATTTCTATGCTCTCTCTGGAAGTTTAATACCAGAGGGTCAATTTTCTGAGTGGTGCAAGGTTCATGAGCAATCTTAGAATGTTCCGTCATCTGCATTTTTACAGTGGGGAAATATAACTGGAATGAATATTGAAGAGCAGCACGTTTTTTAAGGCACTATACTCAGAGAATGTAGGAAATACAGCAAAGGGAGGAATTAGCACTGCCAGCTGCGTTCCACCCACCTGCACCCCGATTTATCTCCTGATTCCAGATGGGGAGCTTGGGCACTTTTAGCACAGACTCTCAGAGCCCCATCCCCGCCCTCCCCCGCCTGGTGCTGGCCCCAGAATGCAGGCCCCACTGCAGGTGTCCTTGCCTCCTGTAACCAAGGGACAGCTCTGCCCCCTGGATGAGCGTGGCTTCTCAGCCAGCCCCCGGAATTCACAGGGAAGCCTCAGTGCACCAGGCTCTGAGAAGGGGAAAAGGTGACTGTGCTGTGGGCCTGTTGACAAAGGGGAAAAGCTGCGTATCACACATCCCTCCCTGCCCCTGGTTCCTGGCTTTGGTGTCAAACTCAGTTAGCATGTGAGCATTCTTGCTCTTGGGGTGTGTTTTGGCCTTCTTCTAATGCAGAGTTAAGGGGCTTTTGCAGCCGTAACTTGGCTCCACAAGTTCCCAAAGGTGGGAAGAATGTAGTTCAGTGTCATGTGATCAGAGACCACATTTAGGGTCCTGTCCTGCCCCCGCCTCTGCTGTCATCCATCCAGGCCAGGCTGGCCTCTCCCATGTCCCTGGCCCCCAAGACAGTCAACTTACAGCGGGGAACTTCTCTTCCATTTGGTTTATTTCTTCCAATACTCAGCATAGGACCTAGAGTCTAACTACAGTTTGCTCAGCTACTTTATCTTCCTTTAGGAGACCATTTTAAACTGTAGAACTTTCCTTTGGCTGAGTTGCTTTTATCAGTAAAAAAAAATATCTAACTCTAAGTACATTTGAATCAAAACACACTATCTAGACAAATCAATATTTTTCTGTTTTTTTATACCAGAGAAAACCCATAATATTTAAATGTAAACTCCCCAAAACTCAAGCCAAAGGCTGTTTTCCTCTTTCCATCCTAATTCCCAGAGTTAGGTCCGCATTGTAAGAACCATAGGGATATCCTTGAGGTAGACAACACACCCCTGTCCGAGAACAGGGGGCGGGGGCAGAAGCGGGGGACGTGGCGTGGGGGAGCCCTCTATGAGGAACACGGCCCCACAGGAGGGTGGACTATTTGCTTATTTCTGAGAAGCCTGGTTATCTACCCAAGAGTCAAAGTGATCCTTTTGAATAAAAAAATGCAGTTACTAAAGATATTTTTCTTTTTTGCTTTATCTTTATATGCATGATTATCTTTTTAAACTGAATTTTTTGGAGTGAAATTGGTTAGTAAAATTATATAGGCTTCAGGTGTACAATTCTATGATACGTAGTCTGTATATTGCATTGTGTGCTCACCATCCAAAGTCAAGTCTCCTTCCTTGCTCTCTTCCCTTTGCTCTCTTCTCCCTCCCCAACCCCCTTTCCCTCTTTAATCGCCGTACTGCTGTCTCTATGAGAATTTTTGCTGTCTCTTTTCTCTATTCATGTGTCTGTTTCTATATTTTTTATTTGTGTATGATTTCACTTATATGTGGAATCTAATGACAAATATAACAAATACAGATACTTCTCAATAGAACCAATGAGCATTTTAATATGGCCCAGCTCATTTGAGTTTTCAGAGCTCTCTAGATAAAATCTTGGAAGAATTTTCCAGAATTTGAATATGAAATCCTGAGTTTTAGAAGACAAATAATTGGCAGGTAGGATTTTCAGACATTTCAGACAACTAATTAGAAACATAATTCCTGTCTACTCAGCCAAGAAGAAATGAGGACTTTCACAGTTACCTGGTGGGTCAGGAGTATCTAGAGACTTCAGCAAATGGGCTGATTTGTACCACTCACACTATCATGCTGTCTTTGGGAAACAGAAGCAGTCACAGCGCCCACTAGGCGCCATGAGTCTCACATCCTGCAGTGCCCCGGGTTGGGTGACCTGCAGCCTACAGGCTGGCATACACCCCGCAGGGCGAGCAGCTGCCGCGCTCATAGTGAAGGCAGGACACTGAGCTGTTTTGTGGCCCCCTCTGATGGAGTGCTCTGTGGGGACGGTTTGTTGACAGGGCCTACCTGGAGCTCGAGATCACCCTTTCTCAGGAGCAGATCCAGAAGTACACGGACTGCCTGCAATTCTACGTGAACAACACGCTTAAAGAGCTGAGGAGACTCTTCCTTGTCCAGGACCTGGTGGATTCCTTAAAAGTACGATTGCTTGCGCTGTTCACTCAATGCTCCGATACTCTTGAGTTTTGTTTTTTCCTAAAGGTATAATATAATAAACCTAAGCCCACATAATGGAGACTAAAATGCAAGTGGTAATTACATTCTGGAGTGCAAAAATTTCCAGGTGTGTGGCATCATGGAACTCATCCAGTCTCACCCCGCAATTTTTGGATGTTGGAACTGCAGCTCAGAGAGGCTGAGACGCTTGCCCGAGCTTGCCCAGTGAGTCACTGGCAGAGCTGGGATCCAACCCAGCTTACACAGCTGCTCTTTCTGTACTTTTAATAACATGCCAGGTTGCTTCTCCTTGCCGTTTTCAATTCCCCTGCCGATTTTCTAAAGTTAATTTAAAAATAAAAATCTAGTTTGAGGAATGTGAAACACAGGCTTTTCCACTGAAAGAAACTCTGGAGTCTACTAACAGTAAGATGGCCACGGGTCGTACACAGTGTGGGCTGTGAGACTGAGCCCTGAGGGCACAGGCCCTCGGCACTGGGTGTTATTCCGGGTGCTGTCATTGAACTCCCCTCATTTCTTTCAAGGAGCTACTTTGACCACCTGACCACCCTTGGCTACATGTAAAATTATAGTCCGTCAGCAGGGCCCTGGCCACACTGTTGTAACTTTGCTGTGTTCCCAGAACACACTGTGCACACCAGACAGGAATCTTGTACCACGGGCTGCCCGGTAACTGTCTGAGGAAGGGCAGAAGGAAAAGTGAGTGATGTGGCCTTGACCCTCAAGGTGCTTTCCTGCAATAACGTCTTCCCAAGTAATGACTGATGAGAGATACCAGGGGGAATATGATTATTTACCTGAGGGCTCTTTGGGTGACTATTTCTATTGTTATTTGTAATGTAATTTTATGGGCTAGAGCAGGTGTCAGCAGGCCTTACCTGTAAAGAGCCATGTAGTAAATATTTTAAGCTCTGTGGGCCACACAATCTTTGTTGCCATTGTAGCAGGAAAGGAGCCAAAGACAATATGTAAATGACTGACTGGCTGTGGCCACGTGCCAATAAAACCATGAATGCAGAAAATTGAATTTCACATTATTTTCACATATCACAAAATGTCATTCTCGTTTCAATTTTATTGGACCATTTAAAAATATAAAATCCATTCCTAACTCATGGGGCCCTGCAAACACAAGCTGAGGGCGGTGGATTGCTGACCCTGCCCTAGATTTTTATCTCTTTGAGTCCCTCGGACCTTACAACAGACAGATCCAAAGGGTTCTGAGAAAAGTAGACAGGATCCTCTTCCAGTAATTCTGTGACCAGCTTTAAATTCTCCTACATTTCCTATCGAGATCATGGTATAGTTTGCCTCAAATTATAATGTAAAAAGAAGTCAATGAAATGAGACTCTTTTCTGTCACGGTTTGAGAAGTTGTGATAGTCATTTCGTTTTTCAGTTTGCAGTCCTGATGTGGCTCCTGACTTACGTTGGCGCTCTCTTCAATGGCCTGACCCTGCTGCTCATGGGTAAGGACCTAGGAGAGTGTTATGTCCTCCCTCCTACCCTCCACGAGCATAGAGCTTCCAAGGCTGTTAGTGCTTAGCTTGTGTTGATAGGGCCCTAGGAACAAATGCCAGATTTCTCTGAGTGCAGAGCATTTCCCTGACCATAGTTCTGTAAGTAGTATAATATATAGTACACATTCATGGTGTATTTCTTTGCCTGGAGTTTCTTTTTTCTGTAACCACAACTGTTTGCGCATGTTTATTTTTTTGGCTTCTCATATACATATCTGCTTACAATAGTAGTTATGTACAGAAATCCACTTTCATTTTCAGAGGGCACAGTTGTGTCTAACCCACGGCCTGCAGGCCGCATGCAGCCTAGGAATGGCTGTGAATGTGGCCCAACACAAAATCGTAAACTTACTTAAAACATTGTGAAACTTTTTTGTGATTACGTGTCGCAATGTCACATATAATAAACATATGTACGCTGTTCTTCCAGTGTGGCCCAGAAACGCCAAAAGTTTGGGCACCCCTGGTCTACCTCATTCTAGGGATAATGACTTAATATCTGTAAAGGGCTCAGCTTCCCTTTGTTTCCCTAAGAACTGCCCTGTCACCTTTCATCTGGAATGCCAGCTGGTATAAGTGCTGCAATATCACGTAACTGTATCCACTTGCATGTATAAGCTTATATAATGATAACTCTCAGAATCTTAATACTCTATTTGTTTTTTATCCCAGCTGTGGTTTCAATGTTTACTCTACCTGTCGTGTATGTAAAGCACCAGGTAAGTTCTGTGTGATATCAAACATTCACATGACACTTTGACCTCATGAACTTTGGATGTGCTCATGATTTCTTCCTTGTTGTAGGCACAGATTGACCAATATCTGGGACTTGTGAGGACTCACATAAATGCTGTTGTGGCAAAGTAAGTTGCATAGTGCAATTTACAAAAAGGAGAGGCTATCTTAAGCAGGCATAAAAGTGGATGAGGTAGGGGTATTAAAATGATAATAAAATGATAGGTTGATTATGATCATTCATTCACTTACTTGAGTCATATTCATGCTCTCCCCAATGATATTATTTCAGAAAATCAGTATAAATTTTAAAACTCTCAATTAAACAAACTTTCACTGGTTTACTTCAGGTATCATGATGAATGAGGGTTTCTTCTTTTTACTTTACATCAAATCACATATTTTTTAATTCTATTTTTCAGTTACAGTTTACATTAAATAACATTTTGTATTAGTTTCAGGTATATAGCATAGTGGTTAGACAATCATATATTTTATAAAGTGATCCTCCTGATACTCTTTCAAGTACACACCTGGCACCACACATAGTTATTACAGTATTAATGACTATATTCCCTATGCTGCACTTTACATCCCTGTGACTATTCCGTGACTACCAATTTTTGTATCTTAGTCCCTTCACCTCTCTCATGCAGTCCCCCAATACCCCTCCTCTCTGGCAGCTGATGGTTATAGATACAGAGAACAGAATGATAGTTGTCAAAGGGGTGAGGGACTGGATGAAAAGTGATTGAGAAGTACAGATTGGTAGTTACAGAATGGTTATGGGGGTTAAACTACAACATAAGGAATAGAGTCAAGAATATCATAACTATGTACAGTGCCAGGTAGGTACTGGAAATATTGAGGTGGGGGAACACTTTGTAAAGTATGTGATTTTCTAACCACTATGCTGTACACCCAAAACTAATACAAAATAATATTGAATGGCAACTGTAATGGAAAAATTAAAAAAAAAAGGAAATGTGTTTATGGACACTCATACATAAAATGTATTTTTTTAAATATTAAGCTGATTACTTAAGCTAATTAGCACTAACACATGATGTCATAAAATAATTTCATTAATAACACTTGTGATTTATTACCTCTTAATGCTGTCTTTTTAGGATTCAGGCTAAAATCCCAGGCGCTAAAAGGCACACTGAGTAAGCTGATCTCACACCGGGACTGGACACAAACGGAATTGTCCTGCGTGGTAACAGTTCTGTTCTTACGTGTTACAGCAGATCAATTGTTTCTCCCCCAGTACCATAATCTTAGAGACAAAGTTTAAAACAGCTGTTTTCAGGCTGTTCCTGTACCCTTAGGATATTTGAGTCACTTGTGTCAAGCACTAAAGTATAGAGAAAAGTTTATTAGATGTGGTTTTTAATTTGGTGTTGCTAAAAAAAAAAAGTGCATGATGATGAGAGCCCAAGTTATCGTTCCTTCTTCTGTGCTCTTCTCCTCCTCTCTGCCATGCTTCTGTCACTCTGACGCCCCTGTGGCTAGGCCCTTCCTGCCCAGCGCACTGACGCCAATAGTGGAAATCGCTTTTATGTCCTTCGGTTGCTGGTTGGATAAATCTTTAATAACAATATAGAATTGTAGACTCATGTTTTAGTGTTTTTCCAATACTCATAGCGTAAAAATAAAGACTGTCACCTGTACTTAGGGTAATCAGTTTTGTATAACTTAAAATAATTGAATAAATAAATTAAAACAAACATTCAGCACTTTTATTGTGTGGGACTGATGGGCTGATTTACATGTATGGTAACAAAAAAAGTACCAGCATGTTAATTTTATTACAATTTGTATTACTTTCTCTGTAGCTCCTAATGACTGAATTATGGACTCTGGATATTTGCACTTATGTACTTGATTCTGAATGAGTAAATAAATGTTACTAACTGTAAGAATTTCTCCCTCTCTTCTTGTGGTTGTACCAGGAAATACAAAAGTTGTAAGAGATGAAATCTCCTGAGGACATGCTGGGAAGGCTGAGACCAAGTGCTCACTGTGCTCCTGTCTCCTGGACCCTGTGGTCCAACCCCACCCTGGAATAGGGCTGCTTTGGGCTATTAACAGAAATGACTGAGGAGAAGTAAAACTGGAAAATAACTCTTTGTAGTAGACTATGGGGCTGATGCAGATATTTGAAAGTTTCTTTTTTAACCTTGAAAGTAATATAAATCTTTCCGTAAACTTTTTATAATAATATGCAACATAACACTGGCATGAAACAATTATAAGTGCTATGAACCCTTTGGTGATTACTTACTGAGCACCGACTGTGTGCCAAACACCGAGAATAGGGCTGTGAATAAGAGAGACTACAGCCCCTGCCACCACTAAGATAAGCCTTCCAACAACTGCTCAGTATTTTTAAAAGTCCAGTTGCATATTTTGTTTCACTACTATAGTCAAAAGTAGAGGATGATGAGGAAGAAGTGCATGACAGTTGTAGCAGCGTGAGGAATGAAAGCAGGAGGAGAAAACAAGGAAGAGTTACAAAAACTGCCTTTGGCCAGTTTTGTGCATAGGTTTAAGAAGCACTTGTGGAGACGACCAGGGCAGCTGGACTCTATGTCAATGGCCAACCTGGGGGAGGTGGGAGGTGGCTATGTGGAAACGCTAACGAAATAAAAGGCAGCGTCAACTAGGACCAAGAGAGAAGGTGAACTTTGGGAATGGGTCCTGATCTGGCCTTTTTCCGATACAGAAGGTTCATTCCAGTATGAAGAAAGAACAGAAACTGAAGTGCAAAGACAAGGAAGTGCATGGCCTTTGCACTGAGTAAGAAGTTGAACTGGGTTCTAAGGTGTTTGGGGTGGGAATGGTTATGTCAGATGAGGCTGAGAGGCTGAGTCCAGATAACACTGGAAAGAAATGCCAAGGTGCTGGGTCTTCTTCTCTAGATCTCAGAGAATCACATAAACACAACGGTATCATAACTGCAAACAGGTGTTAAATGACTGGGTCCTTAGTAAAGGAGCCACAGTGAGACTAGAAAGGAGCTGTTTCCCTGATCCTTTATATCGGCCTGACCTGCCAAGCACCAGCTGGGCAGAGAGGGACGCCTAGGAGAGGTACATGGAGGGGGATGGGACTGGAGCTGGTGATGGATTAGATGGATTAGGGTTCCAAGACCAAGGCCGACCCTGAGAGTTAGCGCCTCCTTAAATCTTAGCGCCTCCTTAAATCTGGCATTTCTTTCCAGTGTTATCTGGACTCAGCCTCTCAGCCTCACCTGACATAACCATTCCCACCCAGCTCGCATACCTCACCTTACCCCAGCTCTGCCTGATACTAGCTGATCAGGAGGATGCGATACCATTTTGAGAACAGAAAAGCCCAGGAGAACTGCTTTGGGGAAGGAAGAAAATAAGCTTAGCTTGGTGCCTATTCTTTTTTATGGTTACTAGATACACAGGGCATTTTTTGTGTTTCTCCTTTATTACATTGCATTCTTTATCCTATGACAGTTGTCCCACTTTCTCCCCGTTGCTCACCTCCCCCCAGCACCATCCGCTCCCTCAGGCAATGCCCACACTGTTGTCCATGTCCATGGGACATGCATGTATGTTCTTTGGTTTGGTGGTAATGAACTCCTTTAGCTGTTTTAATTTTGTACGTTATCCTTTGGATTTTTAATGTGTTTTTTTTTTTAAATAAGTAGCACATTCATATACTTTAACAATGTAAACATAGAAGGATTGCAAAGAGATACTTGCACCCCATATTGACAGCAACATTCTTCACTATAACAAACAGGTAGAACCAAAGGCGTCCATGGAGGGAGAAACAGACAAAGAAGATGTGGTACACACAGTAGAATTTTATTCAGCGCCTTCACATGCTACAATGGATAAACCTTGAGGACACCATGCCAAGAGAAAGAAGTCAAAGAGGAAAAGGCAAACAGTGTATGGGTCCACCTGTATGAGGTACCCGGGTGGCCGAATGCCCAGGGCTGGAGAGTAGGGTGATGGTTGCCAGGGGCTGGGGGAGAGGATTGGGTACAGTTTCATTGTTGCAGATGACAAGCATCCTGGACATGGATGCTGGAGATGGCTGCACAGCAGGGTGAATGTACTTAATGCCCCAGGACTATACCCAAAAAATGGTTACGATGGTAAATTTTATACATTTTTAAATTTTAAAATACTGTGTTGACCACACTCAAAAACAGAACAAGAGGAAAAAATGTAAAAAAGTACGGAAATCACTCTTCCACTCCTGTCCGACAGCCATCCTATTCCTTCACCCAAAACGCCTAACATCACCAGTCTTTGTGTATCCTTTCAGAAAGTCTATGCGTATACAAGCAAATAGAGAGAGAGAGAGGTCTATATGGGGAGGAATGGAGGCCTCGCTCCGACAGCTGGCACCAGCTGGGCAGCCACGTGAGAGACCCCCACCTTGAAGTGGACCCTCCAGCCTTCCTCTCTCGAGCCTTCAGGTGACTGCAGCCTGAGCCCAGCTCCTGAGAACCTCACGAAACACCCAGAGTCAGAACTGGCCTGCCCACTCCTAAATTCTTGACTCGCAGAAATTGCAAGGAATGCTTATCATTGCTTTAAGCCACTATTTTCATGGGATCTGTTATACTGCACAAGATCATCAACACACTGTGTGGCACAGGGGTTCAGCTAGACAGTCTGAGACCCTCTGTGCAGGTGCACTCCTGCATGGTGCCCTTGTAATGGTGTGGGATTGTGGCCCCAGGCTCCAAGTCTTCCCTTTTACCATTATATCTGCCATGCCATCAACCCATAGATTTTCAAGGGCATGAAATTCCTTGATGCTGTGTCATGTCAAGAGGACAAATGTGCAAATCTAAAGCAGGATTTTGCTGTTGGGAGAACTTACAAGCAGAACTAAAACAGAATTTACTCAGTTGGTAAGATGGCAGAGAAGGGGATAGTATAGACCAGTTAGACTGCATGTCCTATGGCTAGAGCTCCTTTAGAGAAGGAGCCTGTATAGATTGCATCAAGTTTATAGGAAAGGGGAGGCAGGGGACCCCTTATATCACCAACATGGAAGCGGCCTAGTGAATGAAATAATCTCATTAGAAAGGGGGCTTCTGCTTTTCCATTGCTGCTGGTACCTGCTGAGCTAGCTCTCTGCTGAGCTACTGAAAGAGGACAGGAAATGAGTCCCCAGAACTATCCCATTTGTTTCTCCTCACCTCCTGGATTCTCAAAGCTTCACTGATCCCTGTTCCCAAGTTGTACTGTAGACACAGCTAACATTTGCTGAATCACGGGTCAGTACAGAGATAAACACTTCTTTTTTTCTTTCTCAGTAAGAACTTTTGGGGGGTAATTTGGGCAGGAACTGAGAGCAGCATCAGCAAACTAATAAACAGGCCTGCACATTCTGCCTAGAACCCTCCTAACCATTTTACATAAGAATTCCAAGTTGCCCAAATGATTTACTCATGATCATTATTGAAAATTCATCCCGATCAGACAAATTCCTGTCATGTAGCTTCTGTGCCATGTTTTTCTTGCATGTCTCATTGACAGGTCTCTACATATCCCTTAGTCAAAGTGCCTGCCTTCTCCAGCAAAAGCAGTTCTAGAAAACAGACAGCACAATAGGATTTCTGCATTTCCCTGCTCTCTCCCACTGCAAAACATACTGGGCTGTTTCCCAGTCCCAGGGCTCCACTGGGGGACTCTGAATCATTGTCCCAAGCTGGTTGGCAACGTTCTTCATACCAAGTTACTAAACCACCAACATTTATTTGTGGTCATTCAGGTCGATTACTAATTCTTGTTTCTTCAGGATTTCTTTTACTCACTCAGGCACTGAAGTCTCACTGACTTCCTAACTGTGATTTAGTAGTGACTCCCTTTGCAGAAGGAGTGGAGGGACCTGTGCATTATCACTTGGAGTCATGCAGCCACGGACCTGTGCTGCACGGGGGAGAAAAGGGCAGCTTTGGACCTGGGCTAAGCTGCAGGGAGCCCAGCAGCCTCCACCTGACCCTCATACGGGTCGGGGAAGCTGACAGGACAAGTGAATGGTGAAGTGGCCACACCAATAGTTTTAATAAAAATAGGCCTGAGGAGGGAAGTCTTGGGCTATTAGTGCTCTCATACATTCTTCTTTAACCAATCTCTCCCCCACCTTCCTACTACCTATCCAGTAGTTGGCATTTCTTTTTTAATAAAATAGAACACCAGAACACTTAATGTGATTTTCCACAAGCTTGTAAGGGTGAAGAACCCATTAAACCAAGACAGGGCACACACTTGTGCATGAGCTTAGGAACCTGGGGGAAGAAAGACTGTCCTGACCCTGAAGGTCGGCTCAGGGATCAAATTCTCTGACAATCCCAAAGACCTAGGAGAGGATCTGGAAGAGGATGATCCTTTATAGACAGGAGGGCAAGTACATTGTAAATACCTGGTACCTGGAAAGCCAGGGGACAGAGCACCAGAATAAGTTGTTATTTGACTTAATAACCTATAACCAATCACAAGTGCTGCCAAGATCGGTTTGTTCTCATATACCCAGACTGGCACTTCCTGGATGAGGGCACAAGACTCCTGCTCTTCCTCTTCACCCTGAGCTTCTGTCCTCTGTCTCTTCCACTGATCTGTGCCCCAGTCTGCCTTGCAAATCGTAGCGGCCTTTTGTTCAGTGAGAAGCTTCCCCAGGGGGTTCATGAAGGCTGATAAGCCACCGCTCTTTTCTCCTGAAGACTCTCTCTCGGGCTCAATAGTCAGTTCAGTGCTGTTCTTTTCCTGGCCTTGTAAGATTTTCATGAAAGACACCTTCCACATTTCCTAAATATAGTTTGAATATGATGTGTTTTCCAGTTCTCAGGTACTGACATCATTGGGGAGTTAACAGGGAGGAGCCCCTCTTCTTGGAGCAGGGTGACAGAGAACCTTAGAATTGTCAGAGGAGTTTGAGCTGGGCCTGTGTGACTGGAGACTTTGCCCCCTTGCTAACTATGGCAGCCTGGTGA